TCTGTTGAGGAATACTGCCAATAATTACAGCATACCAAAACAATTTTAGGGTTTTTCATTAGTTGTGCCGGTGACCTTAAAACGCAAACAATGACGCGATTTTCCTGTAAAACCGTTGTTCTATTGATACTTCAAAAAAGTTAAAGATATATATTTATATATAGTTCATACAGTTCCCTTGGTGCTAGGGGACGGTTTAAGCAGGCAACTGATCCAAGGCATTTTAGCACCTGCAGTGCATGAACGCAAAACAGCACCACCTGCTAGAAAGGTCATAACAGGATTTACTTTCTGCTATGCATGACATTTCATTTAGAGATAAAATTCACAAGCACAAGAAAATCCTGTTATAGTGAAACAAAGCGAGAGCAAGCCGTTTTCGGTGAAAGAAATATTTCAGTAAGACCGAAAAGTGACAACTTATTGCCAAAAGTTTGTTTTAAAAATGAAACTTAACTGTTTATATTATATCGCTAAAGAAAGAATACTAATACTAATTCTTAACATAAAACAGGCAAAAAACAATAATAACACAGATTTGACTTAGAAACAGCATGAACAAAGTTATATCCTGACGAATAAAAGACATCGTCAGAAAATGTATAACCGTTTTAAAACATGTTCGACAGTTAGGGTCAATATCATTTAGAGCATTTCAGAATCATTAGCTTGAACCGGTAACTGAACTGCTAACCAACGTGTCAAAAATCTGCAACGAAGCGAAAGAGCCCAAAAAACAATGGTTCGACAGATGCTTATTTAATAACCGTATGCACTTGAAATGTGAGGCATAGAAATGCTGACTAGCAGAGTTAAGTTTCTGATTGACTCCTTGAATCTCAATCAAATTTTTGCTGTTACAAACATGGATCATCGAGTGTTGCGGATAATTTGTCTGCAGAGGTTTCCCTACTTTTCCTTCAGCATGTTGCTAATATCATCAAAGGCCTTGTGACTAGCGGGAAATACTCCATCGAGAAAACCAAACCATCACTGCAAAAGCCTTTTCCGATGTTATTCCTGTGCACTTTTTTCGCACGCCAGTTCATGCCTGAAAGCGAGATAATCGTTCTTGCAATAGGCTACGACTGCGCTTTTAACGGCTGTTCAACTTTCTTGACTGAAACACTTTACCAGTATCAACAGTGATGCGAAACAAGTGTTCACTTGTCTCTTGAGCGACAGAAGCAGACGGAAAAACAGTGGTGTCGAAGTAAATGGATATGGCAAAGCTCAATGACAGCAGCGGCAGTGACGGGTTATCGGACCCCACGAACTAACAGCTGATCGAAAGCTCAGTCTAGAAACGAGGGTCATCACAAACCAAACTATTACCATGCTGTTATTGTCCCAGGTGTCTTGCCTGCCCAAATGAAAACTTTACAGGTTCCACCGGGCAACTGAATCATCGGCACAATCTTATGATTTTAAAATTTCCGCATGTCCGACTGATTCTGCACTTTTGTTCGACAGACCGATTCTGGGAATCTTTTTCCTAGCTTCGTTCGTTTTTGGTTTGCTCTCGCTATTTATTAGGCTATTTTACCTTAATTAGTCTCTTGAAACGACTGTTACAGTAGGACTGAAACTGAATGAATGAATGAATCAATAAATCATTAAGCGAATATATTTCGTACGTTAATACTCATTTTGTTTATGTTGAAAAATAAGATTTTTGAAGTGATTTTCTTCGAGTAGGAAGATATCACTTAAGCTTCGCTAACTGTTACTCCAGTAAAATTGTCAGCACGATCCAATGGCAAATTAGTTCAGTTACAAAAAATAAAAAGAGCAATTATCTGAGAAGATCAACGTCACGAGTAATGAGTACTGGAAAAACGATCAAGATGAATAGAAAACGACTAAGAAAATACACAGGAAAGACCTAGCTGTTTCTTCGAACATACGCAGGCGCAGGCACCTTCTCAGAAGTGGATAACTAAATGAAGATCTACGACATTCCCTGATTAATAGAGGGAGTTACTGTAAAGTCGTAATTACATGACGCAGTTTATCGAATACCATTGGAGCTTCGTTTTTACATGAATACGATCAGTGCTTTTAGTCATAATTAAAAGGAGACCATTATAAGTAAAAGTTTTGTGGGTTAAAAGAAGAGTTGGCAAACACAATGGCATCCTACTTTGAGTCAAGCGGAAGAAAGGAAGAAAATCTAATTTAAATAAAATTAAATTCATCAATCGTTAACTTCCATTATTACACAGATTGCGAGTACCTGTTTTTCGGCTGACTCGCGGTTCGGGCTAATCGGTAAAACTGAGCAATTAGTTAGGAGTGTTATATTTATAAGGAAATATTTACAACTTGGCAGGCACTGCAGCACATGGTTCCTTTCTTCCTTCCCATAAAGTGCTTACTCGTTTACTCACCCTGAACGAGAGCCGTATTTCGAACCAACAAATCTGCTGACTACTAGTTAGACTCTTCACCGAAGGAAACAACGAGGTAGATAACCAAATTAAGCTTAAATATGTTAGCCCTCACAGAGGAGCGCTGCGATCTTACGCTGAATTCATAAGCACAGCATCAGCGGTTCCTACCTTCGATACATTTAACTTTGCTTGAGACATGGTAGGCTGTGATGAAGCTGTAGTTACCCGTAACGTCGCCGGGTCAGCTTCTTTCCGCTGCTTCTCGGTGACGATGGTCGAAACATTCAACAGTGGATCGGAGTATGACCAGCCTACAAGGAACGAATTAGGAATAGAGTATTTTTAAAAAATTACAATGTCAATGTTGCGGGACGGGGGTCTTACTTGAGTCGTGCTGGAATCGTTTCTGCTCGTCGACGTTGCTGTCTGAACTTGCAAACAGTCCTAAACAGGAACAGTGCATCA